ATCAGACTGATGCGTTCCCTGGTCATGTCAATATTTCTGTATGCATGTGAATCCCAGACCTTGAAAGAAGGATCAAAGCTGTGGAGATGAGATGCTGCCGCAAAATCCTTGGAATCTCATACAAAGATCACATCACAAATGATGATGTCAAACAATTAATCAAAAATGCAATTGGCCCATATGCTGACCTTCTCACTCAGGTCATAAAACGCAAACTGCAATGGTATGGACACATCACCCGTTAATCTGGCCTTGCCAGGATTATCCTTCAAGGCAGTGTACAGGGAAAAAGGAGCATAGGCAAACTGAATAAGAGTTGGGAGGACAACATCAAGGAATGGACAGGCCTGGACATCAAGGATACGCTCAGGAAAACTGAAGACCGGAAGGAGTGGAGGAAACTGGTGGCCAAATCTTCAAAAGCACCCTGATGGACATCAGGTATAGGGGATAGGTGAAGGTGAAAAATATATACACATATACCTCTTTCATAAAAAAAAATAATGCTCACCAATTGAGGCTTCAGTTCAATTCTCTCAATCAATCCCTTACAGGCATCCATTCAAACGCCTCCTACACTAAACCATTTGCTCAAGAGGAAATACCCTTAATTCAAACAACCATGAGCAGATATATGGCACTCTGTATGAGCTATTTCTACAAAATAAATAAAGTCCACATGACATATACAAACCGGAGTGCATCAAAAGGACAACAAAAAAAGACAAAAGTTCAGACTAAAGATAAAAGAATAGAAAATTTTAAACAAGCATTAGGACTATGATGGCAGTAACTACTGTGTTTTTTAAATCTTTCCTGTTCAACCCTGCAGTGAAAAGCCTAGCACACAAGTTCGACCCGACCTAAACTGACTGGGCATCCCGCTCGTCTCTCTCTCTCTCTCTCTCTCTCTCTCTCTGGATTTCCTCAGTCATAGACCTGACTATAATCATAATAGATCACTGACAAAGAGAGCTACAAATGTTTATACGCAACCATTGCTGGCAAAGAGTTTGAGCAGGAAAGGTTAATAGAATTTGCAGATTTTTTTTCAGAATACGAAATACAGGATTTATTGGCAGTAGGATAGACAAGCAACATCACAAACATTCCAGAAACATACAATTTCTCATTTTTCAAACACAGCTCACAGCTAACGGTTGACATATGACTTTATGTACAATCCACGTACACTACTGTAACTTTCTCAAACGCTGGTGATGCCACGCTGTAGCCAAACTTGCTAAACCCATGACAGTAAGCACCTGAAACACAAGTTATCATAAAAGAATGGATCAGAACTATGCAGTAACCTCTTATCTGTTGGCTGAAAGTTCAGAGGTAAAACTGTTTTTTTACTTAAATCTAGTAAATCTAGATAATGGGAAGAGCCTTCTGTCATAAATAGACTTTTATGATTTCATGTAGATTTAGACTTAAAGCCAAACTAGATACAGACAGATCATTTGGAAGGTGGAGAACTTGGCTCAGTGGTGAGAATAAAGAAAAGAGAAGATACAAAGAAGTGTAAAAAAACGAAAGAAATATTTTAAAAAACTTGGCTCAATTTAGTTTGTTGTAGTTTAAGTAGAGTTTTTACGGTGCTCGCAATTGCATACGGTCATATAAGCGCCAAAGGGGAGAAGTCCAAACGGGGAATCAGGTCTACTCTGCTCACCTCTCCAGCTTCAATAGTACAAAGTCTGCTTAGACTATTAAGGCACCCCGTAAATAGCGAGTCACTAGAGAGTGACAAAATATACAAAAGAAGTAGAGGGAAAATGACAATAGTAAGGATTAGGAAAGAAAAAACAGCAGTACCCTGAATACAGTTCAGGCACAGTTATGAGCATGACATTGTTGAAACAGCCCATTTACAAATCAACTGAGCATAAGAACATGTTAATATCCCCCCTTTGGGAATGGCCTTAAGACACTTCAGTCAGTAGCACCGCCCAGGGGGTATTGGCTCAATGCTGAGTAGAGAAAAAAAGAAAAAAAGAAAGAAAGACAGACAGAAAGAAGGAAGTTATACACATATACGTTGAGCCGCAAACATTCAAGTGACCGAAACGGATAATTTCACCGGCGCATTACACCGGACCGCCGCATTATTGCGCCAAGTGACAGCACAAAGTGTTAAACCAAAAACACAGCTAAACCGAAGAGTTTTAACGGTCCTACAGATTTCTATGTAAGCAGACTCCACTATATCAGTACCAGTATCTCTGGTTAAAGTAAGGCATTTCTCTGTTGCATGCATAACACTTGTGTTTAATTCCTGAGTGGGGTAATTAATATAATAACTATTTCCACCTATTTGTTGGGATGCTGTATCCTTCTCACTTCAGGTTGGCCTTAAAACACAGGGTTGAAGAAGCCCGCCTCCTAAATGATCCAGACTAAACTGTGTTGATGGGGGCATAAAACATTTACAATAAATCAATCAGTAAATACACAGAGAAAAAAGTAAAAAAAGAAAAATGAAAAAAAAAAGAAGGAAGATAAGCACAAGTACCTATGACCACAGACATTTTTTCTGCATGCAAAGGCAAACAGCATGCCGTCACATCACACCGATGCCACTACCCAAATTCGACAGGAAAGAAAAAAAAAAAAGTGAGACATCGTGGTGAAATTAGTAGCTCATCATGTCAAAATAATGTAATTAAAAGAAATCTGCAATTTTGTAGTCATTGGGTAATTTTTTTTTTTCAAACTTTCTTTTTATTGGCTCAACACCTGTCATGTCCATTTTAAAACACATTATTGCGGATTTTAAAGAAAAATTTTAATCAAATGCATAAAAAAAAGTAAATTTGCAGTTTCCAAGAACTCTCAAGCTTTGGAAGTCACCGGATTTTGGCGGCCATTTTCTCATCAATTTTACCTCTGAAACCAGGCGACCCCCACCTCTTCCAATGGTAAATATCTCGACTTCTATTTAAGATAAATGAGTAATTTTTTTCATTCAAAGCAAGACAAATGAAAAAGCTTTAAGATAATACCAATAACTCATCATGCTAAAAAATTGACGAACGCCTGATTTCACCACATCGTGACACAAATACATTACGTACACAAACTACTCACCATAATGGCCAGTCCTGTTGACAGCAACGAGAGCCCCTGAGAACTGTGGGTAATGTTTGATGATCGGGGCCATGGCCTTCTGGGCTGCTTCTGTGGGACTGGCACCATACTCCATCTCAATCACGGCTCGGAAACTGAGATACAGAAGTACCACAAGTTAAAACAATTTACAAAGACAAGAACTACATTTACTAAAAGTGCTTTGGTTCACACTGATCATTATATTTTCTAAAAATACATGTAATGTTCTAGAAAAACAAAAATTTCAAATCTCCAAGTTTCATCCTTGTACAACAATTCCTTCACAGTCAGGGTAAAGAATTCTTAAATGCCCCTCATAAAAGCTGCACATGATTGACACTGACATTACTGCGAGCCTAAGCTCATTGACCACCCTCACACTAGAGCCCCAATGACTGTGTTTGAACTACTATGGAACCAATGTACCAAAGATCAATTGCATTACCCACCTTCTGTCATAAAAGCCAATATTTGTCTGCTACATTCCCAGGTTAAAGTCAGCATTGTCCAATTCCTTGCAACATTCCCAGGGCCCAGCATCTCCCCCCCCCCCCCCCCCATCCCTTCCTCCATTTCATGTTCTCTTCCCAAAATACAAATAAATTTTCATCACAAGAGGGTTCAACCAAAGTTCACACTGACCTGGGCAGGAATCTCATCATGATGTCACCATCCCCAGTGGCAGCCGCACCTCCTACGCTGCTGTCAGCGTACGAACCGGCACCCATTACAGGGGAGTCTCCTACACGTCTGGAAGGAAATTAGTCATTGTTAACACACCTTAGAGACATTGGAACTCCTTTCAGGACTGTTAACAAGAATATTTACTTTGTAAAAAGATTGAAATACATCACTCTGATTTTCTGCATCTAGTCAAGAGTTTCTAAATTAGCAAATTAGAAGTTGAATGATTCTCTGTTCATTTGCTGGACTTATGTTACATCAGGACAAAAATTATCCCAATCTAAGAGAGAGGTATGGGGTTGGGTTTTTTTCAGAGAGCAAAGTTGGCAGCTAAGGTCCTGACTGATCTGCCTGACCATGAAGCTGTTGATAAAAGCAAATTTTTAAAGCTACAAATGACACAATGTAGACAATTAAGAAGCCCAACTGCTTTGATTTTATCAAGGCCAAGAGTGAATGTGAGACATACATGCCAGTAAAAGAATGAAGACACTCCTTAATGAGAATCAAACTCAAGTCTTTTGCTCTAGAGAAAAAGAATGTTTTTTGAGTAAAGAGAACCACATCAACACAAAAACGGTCAAAAAGCGAGGCAGACAAACAGGAACAAAAAAGGGAAAGAACAGAAGTAGCATGCGCCAACAACTCACCAGTGAATCTTCATTTTAAAATTGCAAAAATAAAACAGTGAGTACACATTAAGAAAATACAAAATCAAAAGAAAAAGTAAGCACAAGGGAAGCTAACCCCCCTCCCCCCCCCCTTTAAAAAAAACCCAGAGGACACACTAAAAACAAGCAAAGCATGCACAGAGAAAAAAAGAGTAAATGCATTTCACTAAAGACTGAAAATAAAATAGAGGCAATAGAAATGTGGTTTCTTAAGAGACTGCTAAGAGTATCATGGAAGGAAAAAAATCAAATGAGGTAGTGCTTGATGAAGCCCACGTGGGACGCTCAATGTTAAAAACAATCAGGAAACGACAAATGCAGTTTTTGGGACATCTGAATAGACATAAGGTCTTGAACATCCAACTCTAACAGGCAAAATTTAAGGAAAACGAGGCAGGGGTAGGCCCAGAACAATCTACTTGGGGAACCTAAACAAATGGGTAACAGGGAAAGATCAGGGAAAGGTAGCTTTTTTGAGAGCATCTGAGCAGAGGAATGAATGGAGAACCATAATCGCCGATGTCTGTCGCAGATCTGACACTGGATGATGATGATGATGATGCATTTCTACAAAGAACAAAAGAGAGAGTACACAGTGACAAAGCAAAAACAATACAGTGGAGTCCACTTATAACCAGTCCAGAAAAAACAAGAAGTCTGTTATAAAGACACTATTCTAAAACCCAATTTTTTCCCCTTCTTCATCTTTGTAAATTAAATACTGCTATAGTGCAATCAGACAAACATGCGAATCGGTTATAGTGGAATATTGCTGCTGCTAGAGCATAGACCAATTATACAAAATATGCAAAACCTCGCCAGTTGAGAAACTTGTTGGTGATCTATCAAAACAAAGAATGGAAGAGCCCACGTGTGCCCACAATGAAGGCCAAAGCGAATGAGTGGCATGCACAGACAAGCAGAATGCATCATGTGATAGGCCAGCCTAGTCTAGATTAACAAGGCCTACCATGCCTCTCACTTCTCTGATGCGGGGATGGAGAGGTCACATTGCTCATTGCTGTGACAGATGGAGCGAATGTGTGACGTGTGCAGGGTGTGATGTGTACCCATGTGCGCAAGCAGACAGAATGCACAACAGGGTGTGGTGAGGTGGAGGACAACACAGCAGGCGTGTTAGTCAAGAGCCCTTTCTTTCTGATCGCCAACGCCGGCTGTCAACATCGCAAGCACTAGAGAAAGACACCTGATTCGATTTTTAATCAAATAAGACCTAGAGGTCATATTGAACAAACACATCATCAGGGGAGATAAAAAAGAAATAAACAGAACACCAAACCCTTAGATTAGGCCTACTTTATTATTTCCCTTGAACTATTTACTGGATCCGTTATAACGTGAATCCTGCTTTAACGGATTTTTCGCACCAATCCCCTCTCTCGTTAGAACAGAATTCCACTGAACAAAGATAGAACACAATGAAAAGACAATAAACAACAAAACCCACCCAGGGACTTTGTGGTTCATCCCGTTAGTGGAAGTTCCAGCCCAGACCCGCATGCTGGTGTCAATGACGACCATGCCAATTGTGTCGTGGTTCCAGCGGTCAACGTCATGATGTTTGCGTTGGTAGTGCCACAGAGACTTTGGGGGGACAGGGGTGTAAGGACCACAGTTGTGGCGGGGGTCGGGGGTCACATGCTGTGGAAGGTACCAAAAGAAGACTGACTTACATAACATTTTAACTAACACATTGCCTGCTTACTTTAAATATATTTTTTTTTAATTAGACAAGGAATACGAAACAGACCTGCCACTCTATGAAATCTGAAAATCAGAATATCAGGAGAAAAAAATCAAGATCAAAAACAAATCACCAAGGTCACTGTCACGGGATGCTTGAGATTTGTGGAAAAAAATCAGGATATCCGGATTAAGTCGGGATGAGTGGCAGGTGAATGTTAAACCGTTACACGATTTAATTTTCACTTTTACACCCGCACTGGACATTGCTGGTCAAGAAGTGTGGAAGTCCTCTCTCCTGCCAAAAGACGCAGTTTGATTCTTAGCTTGACAAGGTAGTACAGAACATGAATAACTTTGGCTTTTCTTAGGGGTTTTTTTTCAAACCCATAACATGAAAATTGGAAAGACCTGGTCCCTCATCTAAGACAAATAGGACAATATTCAAGGCTCAGACTGTATCTTGTTCATGCTTATGACACTAAGATAGTAATACATAAAACAGTCCCCCCATGACCCATGTCTCGGTTACAGTAGACACATTCCCAACAAATCTGAATCTAACTTATTCACAATAAGCCCCTCACCTGTCTGTAGTTAGGCTGGCAGTTGTTTTTGCGCCATTGTTTGTACATCTCTCGTGAGTGATTGGTGGCCAAACTTTCTTCTTTGAAACCCATCTCAACAGCAAAACGACCAGCTGAAAACAGTAAAAGAAGACAAATTTTTTAAAATTACTCTTTCCTGTCAACCAGAAGCATACTAACCAATACCTTTTACACTACATAACTTTTCTTTTTTTAAATATCTATACCACACACGGTTGATACAGAATAATAAACTTTTCTAAAGTACAATCTGTTTTTCTTTTTAAAAGGTGAGTTTAGGGCCCACATCATAAGGATTGAGATTTTGTGTCTGCGTGTCTGCCAGAAGCACAAAGGACTTGTAAGCTTTCTAACATTCTAGTCATAAATCTACTGAGTGAAGACTATCATGAATAGGGTATCTCCAAGAGGAGAGGCATACAGAGGGTCTATAAATTATTCAGCAACCTGCTTTAAAGACCACCTGTCCAAGACAATCACCTGTAGGAAAGACAACTTCCCATTTCCACCATTGTGGGGTTTTTTTCTCTATATTTTGGCACTGTCCAAAAAGACCAATAGTTTAAGATGACCACATTGCTACTTGACAATAGACGGTCGTCTTGAACAGATTCCACTGTATGAATTATAATAAATCTGCCAATAATGTTATGATCCAACCATGATATACTGGTCACTTGAAAATGTTTCAACATGCAGAAAAAAAATAATAAGTTCTGGTTTCAATGTTGAGAGACATCAAATTTAGCCTACAGCAACTTTAAACTATTTACATGAATAATGAATCCCAACCCCAGATTTTTATTGAGAACCTGCGTATAGAACTCAGCATGGTTTAAGAATAAAAATAAGTTGACATTTTTTGTCAGTAAGCAAATAAAGCATAACAACATCGATATAAGCTTTATTCAGACCTGATTCACCCACAAGTAAGGTGTGGTCTGAGTACCTCATCACAGCCCGAGCCACACCGATCGCATTCTTCACTCTCCGCAGGTCACCAACAGCTCCTACAGCAAACGTATCTCTGCATGCAGGACAACATCAAAAGTAAGTCAGAGCAACACACAGACTGGGAAATAGTTATTAAATGCAACATGACACCAATGACCACAGTACATCTTTCCTGAGGAATACCCAATACACGACAATGCCAGAATGGTCATACAGCTCCAGCCAGTGTCAGTTAGAGACAAACTTTTGGGCACTCAAGGGACGGCTTTTTGGTATTATCATATGTATACAGTCGAACCTGGGTAAGACAGAATCGCAAGGGAGCCAGAAAAAAATTATGTCTTAGACAAGGGAATTTAGGGGGAGATGGAAGGGGGGGGCCCAGCCTCCTAGCTGGTGGGATCAAGGATCGCTTGTCCAATCGGCAAGCAGTGGTCAAAACTTCACACCTCTCAATTGCTATCCTGTCTGATAATGACATGCGTCAGTCTTACTTTTCCAATTACCACCAGAGCTTGCCTTTCATAGGACCACTGTTTGACCTTTTAAAAACCGAAACATTTGAACAGCTCCTTTGCTTCCACCCTTAGCCCCACCCACCGGAGTAACAAGCACAGTCAACCGATGCTACCCCTCATTGCCATCATGTAACAACGATTCGAGGAACTCTTTTTTCGGCTGGCTGTATGATCAGGGTGGCAGGCATTGGTCAAACTAATTTCACACCATTGGTCAAACTAATTTCACACCCTCTGGCTTGTTGCTACCCAGGAAAGTTTTCGTAGTGGCTCACTTCTCGAGCACTCTCACAGTCATGAAATTTCTCACCTACACTACCCTGACCATCTGCATCGCTCAGGGCTCACATGATGGGGGTAACATTTATCCCCAAATTGCACCCCTACTCCCCTTCCTCGCCCAGCGGCATGGCCACGGCGTTAAGTTTAGAGCCGGCGGAACCAAACTTGCGAGTTTTGATTCAAATCAGGGCTGAGTGGGCAAAGCATTTTCCGTCTTAGACAGGTGGAACCCTCAGATTAAAAAGGGAGTGGATTTTTCCTTCCATTTCCGCATTGGACAGGTTTCCGTTTTATATAGGTAATTAAAGAGGAATATATCAAGGGGGGAGCGGGGAGATTCCATTAAGACAGGTTTCCGTTTTATATAGGTTTCCGTTAAGATAGGTTCGACTGTATGAAGAACAAGGTAGATGAAAAATATTATGTTTACCTTCCAAAAAATAAGAATCAGTTCCTAAGCAAAGAGCACTAAGCTCCGATACAAAAAGGACCATGTTTGTAACATCTGCTGCATGCTGGGTTGAGGAATACCCACTAGTTCTACTTTTTAAAGATAAATAATCATGAGTGTTCTCCATCCCCCCACCCCCTCAACACAATTTAGATAATTTTAAAGGCAAGCTGCTTCCACCCTGCCTGACAAGGCCAACCTGGACTAAGTGGGACACAAGATCCCATAAGACAGAATACTTTAAAACTGCAAAACCAAAGTATTTCAAAGCAGATTGGGTGCTCCAATAGTTCAGTTGGAATCAAGCTGAACTACAGAGATGGCAGCCCTGGTTCAAGTCCCCAACTGAGCGTTCTTAACCTCAGAATGTTTTGTGGCATTTTCAAGTCTCTCAGCCCATTTGACTCTGTATTAACGGAAATCGGCCTTTATTTCGAATGTTCCCATTTTTTATTAACCAAACAGTGTTGAAAGGGACGTTAAACACATGTACTTGCTTACTCACTAAAGCACAGATTTCACATTGAAAGGCAAACTCCCATGGCAGAGTAGAAAAAAAGGTAAGGTTCAAAATGATGACTCACCACTTCATCGACCCTCCCTCTTGTCTCTTTCACTTCTTAGTAAGGGTAAAAAGAAGCATATTGACATCACAATGGCCTTTTAAAGCCAGGAAACAGCAAGACAGACGGAAACAACTACGGGCAAAAAAGTGGAATATTCCAGTGATACCCTCTAGTTACTCATCCTCTCTCACTTTATTAAGAGGAGATACAATGCTCTAAACCCAAACAACCAGTGGGCAAATTTTCTGGAAGACACATGAAAATAAGGAGCATATTAAGAAAGAAGTTCCTTCCTTTGATTTGATTTTAACTTTTTATCTAACTGTTTCATTGCCCTGGCCCAAAACAGTTTTTGAATGAAAATGAAATGGTATGGGTTTAACATCCTGTTATGTCCCTATCAACACTAATAGGTTATTTAAGAGGGGGGCTTCCTAGTCTAACGTCCGTCTCCGAAAGGACCAAGACAAGTGGGAAATTTGTGTAAAGTGCCTTCCAAGGACACAACATCGGACCGAGCTGAGACTCAAACCCTGAATCAGCAATCTCACGATCACGAATCCTGTAGCCTAACCACTAGGCTACCGACACCACAAAACAATCTTTGGTCCATAGGCCTACATATTAATATAAAGCAGGCTAGATTATCTCTATAGAAAAAGGGTTAATATCATGTGCATAAGGATCCAAAAGGGACCACAACATTATGAAGTACAGATTACCCATCCATGATCATGGCATCTAGAGTGGTTTCCCCTCTCTCATCAGGGTTACTCCCATAGCCCACACTCCCGTCACACTGTTCTGTCTCACACGTGGAGCAGCCAATGACCAGACTATCTTCTGCACTAGCCCCAGACTGTAGAGCTGCCCACGCTGGAGAGAGCAAAAGAAACAGGAAACTTTTACAGTCCAAAATCAACATCACAAAAGAACAGAATTATAACATGTTAAATATTTCTTTACATCTGTGTTTGTCCCACAGCATGATTGCACGCGTGGCGAGCCACTCATGCGGTGTGGTCAGCATCACTCCCCAATCCCCTTTCCCCATTGTCCCCCCTTCCTCCAGCCTCTCGTGGTGGTGAGACAAGGACCATGTTATTGGCTGTAACAAACAAATAAACACCTACCAGAGGCCAGAAAGGCAGTAGAGCCAAGTCTTCAGTTGAGAATGCGAAGTGGATTTGTTTCGAGATTCGAGTGTTCATGCGTGTTCAGGAACTCCGTGAAATCAATACAAAAAGAAAAACATAGGGACTGAAACGTGACCGAGCATTATGTTCGAGATACCCGACAATTCGTGGACTCCACTGTATCTATCAAAAAGATTGTTGTTGCAACCTTCAACTATAATTATTATAATAAAAGCATTGTCATTGTTGTCAGGTAATGAGTGGACCAGTTCACAAAGAACCATTCAAGATCCAAAGCTATCAGGAGGTAAGCTCTAGATCTATTCTATAAACGGAGTGTCAACGTACACGGTAACTGGGCACGTAGTCTCAGTATCTACGTACACGGTAACCGAGTACTTAATTTTGGGGGCCCCTTGAGCTAGGTGCACGGTAACTGCTTCCCCCCCCCCTCCCCTCACTCATGACTGGACTGGCCAATCACAACGTCGCACTGCTGACTGCCTGTTTGGAGCACACCGACAGCCACCCTATCACCCAACCCCCTTCCCCCATATACAGCTCGCTCGATCTCTCCTGCTGTATCCAAGTTCGGGACTTTCCATGCCCAAGCATGAGTAATTAAGTTTACATAGAAAAAAAGGGGATTCCGGTAAAGTCCCGCTGAAGGGGTCAGATGGAGTAGTCCTGCATCTAGATCTACACAAGGCCTAAGACTATGAATTTGGGCAGAGAATAATAAAAGGCAGCTGAAATTGCCATTGTCACAGGACACAATGCACACATTGGAGAATGTCGGAGCACAGTGCACACACAAAACGGCGGGTCACACAACATGATACTTCTGTGAAGAACGAGGGTGGACCTTCCGATTACCGTGTAGGCCTACATAGACTCTGAGACTACATGCCCGGTTACCGTGTACGTAGACACTCTGTTCTATAAAACTGGTCCTTATTATTATTACGAAGTGACTATTTCTCCGAATGTTCGGGAAAATAAATTTAAACTCTATTTCTCCGAAAGGTTTCCAATCTCGAGATTTTTTTGTTATTTGCAAGATTTAGGCGTCATCCTTTCATTCTGCGAGGACTGGGAAGAAGCATTTTTTGCATCGAATTCAATTTCTAGAGCTAGAGATTTTTAAATGTCTGAATATTCAGATAATTCAGTTGTGATTTGAGCAATGTTCCCGGACTATACTTCATTTGAAAATACCTTCAAAAGGTACTGCAAGAAAACAAGACTGCTCGACCTTGGCAGTAACTTATTTTGCATTTAGTCACCCATCAAAAACTAAAATCCTTCAGGTAAAAAAAAAAAATCCCCCCCCCCCCCCCCCACATTCACACCTTACACATACACTGACACACACACACACGTGCCACTCCATGCGTTTATTATCAACAAATCTCGAGAACGGAAACCATTCGGAGAAAAAAAGTTCAATTTTATTTTCCCGAACGTTCGGAGAAATAGAGCCGCCCTTATTATTATTATTATTATTATTAATTACTAGACTCATATTTGTATTAATTAATTATACGGAACCATTATCAAATAAAAAATACGAAGTGGCTATTTCTCAGAACGTTCGGGAAAATAAAGTTAAACTCTATTTCTCCGAACGGTTCCTGATCTTGAGATTTTTTTGGTTATTTGCGAGATTTAGGCGTCATCCTTTCATTATAATGCCATTCTGCGAGGACTGGGAAGAAGCATTTTTTTCATCAAATTAAATTTCTTGAGATAGAGATTTTTAAATGTCTGAATATTCAGATACAGTCAAACCTGCCCTGACGGCGACCTGTACAAACGGCCACTTTCCATTTCCCCCCTTGCGTTTTTTCCTATATAATTTAACTGTGTAAAACGGGCACCTGTCCAACGCGGCCGCGACCACAATAATTTAACACACAACCCCTATCACACTAAGCAATAATACCTGTCTTAAACGGCCACCTTAGTGACTCCATTACGTTTTGTCATAAATTGTGCCTTGGCTCCTGGTGTTGTGGGCTAGCCGTCATAATTCAATCACTTGTCGTTGTTGTTAGGGAGTCCCTCCAACCGATCATGCTCCGTAGGCCCCTCCCACTGTTGACCAATAGGTACCAATTTTCAGCTGCTGGTGAGGTTAGCGAGTGATCCCTCATTCCCATAAGCCCCGCCCAGAACTCATATACAAATCGTAAGTGAGATGAGAGGTCACTGTTTACCCAGTCTGTAACAAAGGACGTCAACATGAACTTGTGACAGAAGCGTCGCTCGTTCTCCGAGCGGTGGCGACTCATGAGTTTGTTTTAACGTGGCACTCGGTCTTCCTCGTCGAATACATTTCGTTTTATTGTCACCCTTGCACTAAATCAGCAGCAAAATAAAAAGTACAAACGAAATACAAACCAACAACAACAAAAACAACAACAAGAATGAGGCTACTGACTACTTTCGATTGGGACCTCAGATATGAATGGTTTGTTTCCTTTATCTTGATCAGTCTTGCTTAAAACGACCACCTGTGTTATACGGACACTTTTTTCCTTGACAATGGATGGCCGTCTTACACAGGTTTGACTGTACTTCAGTTGTGGTTGGGCAACATTTCCGGACTAGATCTATACTTCATTTGACCTTCAAAAGGTACTGCGAGAAAACAAGACTGCTCGACCTTGACAGTAACCTATTTTGCATTTGGTAGTGTCAATTGCCACCGAGTGACGCGGTGGCAATTGACAAAAATGGACGGTAGTGTCAATTGCCACCGAGTGACACGGAGGCAATTGACGAAAATTGACGGTAGTGTCAATTGCCACCGAGTAAATTGGAGCTCTTTTGCGTTGGTGAGTAGATCTAGCCTATTGTGCTCTGTTTGTGTTTGTGTGTGTGTGTGTGTGTGTGTGTGTGTGTGTGTCTGTGTGTGTCTGTGTGTGTCTTTTCCTGACCCCCATCCCCCCGGATTTATGTTCCCCAATATAAAATTAATTTCTGCTTGAGTTTGTGACCTTCTACTTCTAGAATTGCCTATGTTGGTTTTATACCGAAGTGTAGGCTAAGGCTAGCCTAGATCTAGGCCTACATCTCATTGAAAACCCACAAAGTTGATACCGTAGCTCTAAACTAGATGCTCGTCCAATGAAATTAGTAGAGAACATTGACCCATTAGACACACATTAGGCTCCTATGAATAGAAAGCTAAAGATAGTGTTGATTTCAGACTTGACACCGCTTCAC